TTTTTTGTGAATACGTGATTAACAAGCCTTAATTTAGCAAATAAAGAGGTATATGCTATATCACTTTCAAGTAAAAAATGGAGGTGCACTCTTAAAAATTGTAAAAAAAAAAAAAGTGCCTCCATGTTGGAAGTGGTTCAGTGGTTCCAGAATATCATTCACCACTGCTATTAGATTTATGTATTCTTTGGTAGAGGAGTTGACGTCCATCAAATGGTATTACAAACAGCTTAATATGCATGAAGTTGCTGTAATTTATTGGAATAATTACATGCAGGACATCTGTTCCCTACATCTGATGCAAAGATTCAATGTGCGAATAGGCAGTCTCAATAAAATAGTTGAAATAGGTGTAAATTTGTTTGTCCACCTTGAAAACAGTGGTAGAGTACACCCACAATAGTGGATTTTGGGAGGAATCTGCCAACAAGATGGTGAGTGCTTTGTCTTTCAAATCTTGAATAGTTATGCTGGTAATTTACGGATAAAATTATTCGACATGTACAAAATGGATTAATGATCTATTCAAACTGCTGGAAAGAGTACAAATGGAGCGACTTGAAGCTGGTTACAGTCACTTTACCATGAATCATAAGTACAATTTTGTAGATCCAACAATGGGTGTTCACACTGAACTAAGAAAAAATGCAAGGTTTTACTCAAGTGGCATAATGAAAAACAATGGGACATGGCTTGGCATTACCTTGAATTATATCTTTCAGAATATATGTGGACAGAGTACTTAAGGAAAAAAAAAGATGTTTTGATTAATTGTTGAAAGCAGTTTTATATATACGGCCTTCTCTTAAAAATTATTAAAAATATTCTTAGGAAAGAACATGCGAGTTTTATTGTTATTATTATACACTGTGTTGTTTATTTTTACCTTCGTGCTTCAAGAGTTAGTGAGACACCTCGGTAGATTAGCAATTCAGTCTTGGAAGTCGCTAAACAAGGAAGTATCATTTATCATTTCAAGGAGTCTTGCAGATGTATCAGTTAATTTCTTCCAGTTTTTTCCTACTGTTTTGGAAGAGATATGTTCCTTCCAGAATAAATACAACCTCGTCTCCTATTTAAAATATTTTAAGTACAAATGTAAAGACTGCCATAAATTGTAAAACTTTAACTCTGATTTTTTAAACACAGTCAAGTTTGTAATTGTATACAGTACTGTTACTACAAAATGTTATTAATGTATACTTCAAACTGCTATGATGACAAACAAAAGGATTATTTTGAACTACCTCCTGAATAAGCTGATTATAAATAGTGAAAATTTAGCCCTCAAATATAATTTATTCCTGAATTCACCTGAAACTATTTGTCACCTGAAATGTTGGAAATCAAGACTATTTTCACTACAGAAATTGATGTAAAATGAATTAAAGTGCTCTTCACAGATGATTGCTTAAACTTTACAACAGTATGATGTACATAAGCTCATAATACAAAATCAGTGGAAAAACTAATAAATAACAAACTTAATTTTATTATACTATACAAAGAAGAGTGGACAGCATATGAAGTAATAGAGAAGAGACTTTGTTTAGATGAGGTAACTTTCTTTCCAGCACAATCTTTTCTGTTTTATCTTAGCACTACATGATATTCTATGCGAGCATCACTTGATTTATTGGATCTCAATCTCATTCAAAATTTCTTCAGAGCAATTTGTTGTGAACTTTATAAAATATTTCTAAACTGAGACATGGCCGAGTCAAGTTTATGTTGTATCAGTGCTATTATTGTATCAGGATATTACTGCATGAAAACTCCCCATCACATCCCATTTATTGCAAGAATGTAATAGAAATTAGTTCTGAAATGAAATAGTTTGGAGTGATTTACTAAAAGCAGTTTCTATTTTTAGGATAGAAATGAAAAATAACCAAATTAAAATGGAAAACTAAGGTACTATTGAAAATTTAAAGTAGAATTTTGATTTATATATTTGATCTTATATATATATAAACACATATATAACAAAATATTTACTTTCATATTTTCTCCCTTTCCCTACAAATTTTACCGAAACTGGAAGGAAAAATATGCAGTGTATCCTATTTCTGAAGAGATGGCTTTAATGCTAAGCGTAACACATTAAAAAGCATAGGAATAGTGTTATGCATTTCAATTATGATAAGTGTAAAATTTATACACACATTTTACACTTACCATAAATCAGAAGTTTCTAAATCGCATGATGAAAACTAAGGGGACATATATGAGTAAATATGGTATATACATACCATATGTAAAAACTAGGAAATTTCCAAATGAGCTTTTTTACTTGAAATATTTTCTACTAACACAGCTTCTTTATGCACCGAAATCAATAAAATTATAGCAATACGTAACAGAAGATGGCTCAGACAATAAAAGCACAGAGTGGCACCCATCCTACAAATCTAGAGCATAAAATCTACAACTTCTATCACAGAAATGAAAAAAGAAACATTTATGTTAGATAGATGCCTCTAAAATGATCAAGTTGCTTCATTCCTTGACAGATGGCTCCCAGTTATCAAAAGCTTTGATATAATTACCATTGGATAATAAATTGCAACTCCCACTGCTGTATAACCATTGGTGTCACCAGTGTTCTTTAAACTACTATGATCAGTATTAATTTATGAATAATGTTCTTTGGAAAGATTAATATGCAATAAGCACATTATTTTTCAAGATAAGGAAAAATTATTATAAATACAGACACACACAGAGCAAAATAAAAATCATTTTTAAAGAATCAAAACTGTCACGGAAAAAATTAAAAGCTTATTCAAAATAATTCACCTTATTTCAAATACTTTTTCAGAATTTAAACATAGCAATATTTGAAAAGGAAATCAATATGTATTCTGTATGATTTGTTTTCATCCATTACATGAGAAACATACATTATATAAAAATTCATTATATGAAATTCCTTATTTCACTTTATGAAAAATATCAGTGATAATCCACATGATATAACCCTAAAGAAATCCATGCAGCTATGGAAAAATACACTACACCAACTATTATGATAAATTTTATAAAAATTATAAATTTCCTTTTTAATTTGTTGTAAACAAAATTAAAGCAGTTTTAAAATATATGAAATTATGTTCATCTGGAAGTGGGTGAATAATTTTGAATAACTATGTACATTGATTGCAATAACATTTCACATTACTGATAAATATACTAAGCCAATAATACACTTATATATAATATCATGTAACCAAATTTAAAGATAAAATTATATTACTAAAACTTATTTTTAAATATACAGTAAAATAACAATTAGAAACAATACAGTAACTTCAAATAAATTGTTCAGAGAAATCCTGCAATGCAGAACATTTTCACAATTTCCACTACATTCTGGGTGAATCTACACATGAAGTTGATGTGAAATTCTTATAAACATGAAATTTTATGGTCCACGAGAGTTTAAAATGTTATGCTTTTGTTTTCATATTCTGATGCTGCAAAAGGCAGACATCTTCTTGAAATATGTTTCATATACCAAACATGATCATATAATTCAAAAGAAAACTTATCACAATGATATTTGTTGCATATGCAAAGAAACAGGATATGATGCATAAATTTTAGGAAAAGACTTATGGTAAAAAACTAGTAGCACTTCATATTTTGTTTCTATTATTCTTTTTTTTTTGCCTGTTTGTTAAGGATTGTTAAAATGATGTATGAAATTACAGTAACCCGCCCTTCCCCAACTTACATAATACATGACTTTAAAAATATTAATACTTGACAAGTAAATTTGCAGTACCACAAAATTCATAAACCAGTTAGAAATAAGTATTCTGTAAACAATTTTTTCCTTCTTCAGTAACAGCTCAGAAATTGTAAGGGGAAAATGCTACACTATCTTAATACATACAAACTGCATTCCACAACTGAAAATGAAAAGAATTGTTACCAAATTTATATCTTTGCCGCTGAGTGATAATTAGAACCAACATCACACAAATGTTTACATGGAAATTTAAGCGCATTATTTTGATTTGTAGGTCCGATCAAAAAAAATTTTTTTTTTCTTCATAGATAAAAGAAATTTGACACTGAAGAATAACATCAGTTTGGTTTGGGTACTTATCACTATTTTTTCAACACTAATTGAATTGCAGGAAATATGTTCCTTTTGATTGTACACTGAAAATGAGAAATATGATTGCAACATCTTACAATGGACATGATGAGGATGAATTCTACAAAATGGTATGACAGTTGAGTTTGATATCCCAAAAAATACACAAGTTTGAAAGAACATAGCTTTGGCATCCAGGAAAATGAGTTTGTTTTCAGTATTGCCCTTGTTTTCAGTAACAAGGAGTTTCTCAATTTCGTGCTCAGACCTTATTCTAAAAAATGAAAATTAAATTGAATATGATAATGTAAACAATGTCTATGAAGAAATGCTGTGCTATGCAAGTTAACTGCAAATAATTTTGCACGATGTTCAGATTGCAAGGACTTCAGTACAAATGTTCCTACATAGAAATACCCAATGTCATGGAATATTTAAAAAGTAAATAAATTTTATGAGCTTCTGAGCAATACATACTTTAAAAGTCTTCACACTAAATCATAGTTAATAAAAAAGACAAATAAATTAAGTGGCAAGGAAAAAAGTCAGAATTTAAATATTTTTGGAATGAAACATACTTTAGTGTATTATAAATAATAAAAAAAAGGCAATTAACTTCCATTAAATGAAAGTCATATCATGATATATTACAAAATAAGCTGCCTCTGTTCATCAAACATTAATGTCATAACAGGTTTATGTATATAAAAATGATTAACATAGCATTTGCTTTTGTTCCATAATAATAAATATTTGTTCTAATATAAAAATACTTTTTTTTTTTTTTTTTTTGCTTGTCTTGACTAAATTAAAAAGGTAATATTTTTCTCAAAACTTATATTCATTCATCTTATAGATAAAAAAATAATTATTAAGGTCATGTTTTTATGTGCAAGCACAGCTAAAATAAAACATTTAAAATAAACTTCTACTATATCTTATACAAAGAAGTTTATGCATAATTAATAATATATGCATACACTTTAAAACTGTCTAAAGGACTTGCAAATATAATCCTTCAAGCAATTTGGGACATAAATTTTATGTCCATATATTTTATATATTGATATTTTCATACATTTAGCTGATGTCACAGTAATTATGCTACTTGCTAAACACTAGTTTTGATTTAAAATGTATAAAGGATGAGGAACATAAATGTTTTAACAATATATATAAATAATAGCACCATTCAACAACTGGAATTAAAAAATTCTAAATTTCTCCGATAATACACGATTCCAAAATGCTTGAAAATTTTTCTTCTAGTTAAGTGTAAAACTTACACATTATTTATCAGTAATAATAAAATATTCATGCAAATTATCTACTGCTCACATCTTAAATATACTATTTTAGGGCAGGGATACATTTTTTTTTAAACCCTACGACAGATCAGCAAATTTAATTTTTAATCAAAACATTTTCTTTTGCAAAATTTTTTAAATTAAACTGCTAAATATTCCTTGCAAATTAACAATTTAAGAACTACTATATATAATAAACATTGTATCTAAAAATATTAATATACTATAAACACTTTTACAGTATAATTATAAATATTTTTAAAATAGATAGTATGAGAAAATTTTAGATATTTTTGGTAACATTTATGCGAAAGATAAGAGTTCTATCAACTTTGCTTCACTTTTGGCTGGTATTCAAAACTGAATGTATAAAAACACTATTATCTTGCAAAATTAAGAGATTTTGTGAAAGGGTTTCATAACAAATATATTAACATGTTTCCCTAGTTGCTAATAACTTCATTTAAACAAGAAACAATATCAGTTTTTAACTAATTGATAATCTGTACTCCTATGCTATCAGCATTATTCATTCTTCATTCTAAGAAACAATATTACTAGCTTGATCGTATTTAACAAAGCATTTAATCTGCATATAATTTATGTTAGCAGTCTCCAAGATTGCACGAGTAGAAGTATAATATTCTGACTGAAGTGGTTCACATTAATGATTAAAATATTCAATCATGATGAAAATGCTTCAAAAACAATCAACTCTAAAAAGTTAGTTTATATAATCATACTTCAGTGTACACTATAAAACTGAAAGTATACCATGCTTTGTCTTATTAAAAGAACCTAAGAATAACGAGATAATTTCACACCATATAAATTTTGACAAACTAAAGTTTTTAAAAAGTGTTTATTCTAATATTTTTTTTTAATTTCTCATGAAATATGTCATAAAAGTAGAAAAATAATATTTCTGTAAACTTTGAGAGTAAGTAAACTAATGTAAATAATCACATTGATATATTCAATATCATTTTATACATACTTCTTTTCAGAAATTTTGTTCGTGATTTTTAAGAGAACACACTACATAAGTAGTTACTTGTTCTTGAAAATAATGATGAAAAACAATGATGACATTCCACTTCTCGATGAAAAATAATGAATTAATGTATGTAAAACAATATACTAATTAGAAATTTCAATTCAGTGTACAAGATATAAAAATAGTACAAGATACACACAGAAAATGTGAATAGAATAAAATCTCTAAACTATAAAAATACTCTGTCAATGTACAAAACATTTTACAATCCAAGAGAACTCCTGTATGACTCGGCTATTGAAGCATTAACTGATTAATATTTTTTTGCAATATAGTATCTTTGACAGCACTAAAAACAACCTTGATATTCTCAGTATCAATGGCAGTTGTAAAATGATAATAAAAAGGTCTTTTCCTATCTCTTCTGATTTGGTCAAACATATTCACAAAAAACATTTGTACAGCTTCAACATTATATGGGTCCCCTGTAAACTCTGGAAAATACTGACGAATGTCCACATCTTTACGAGACAGTTTCTCTTGTAACAAATCTGTTTTGTTCATAAACAAGATCACAGATACTTCTGAAAAACATCGGTTATTAATAATAGTGTCAAAAATATTTTTTGACTCTAGTATGCGATTGGTAGTTCTATCTTCAAGCAGAACTTGATCAAATTCTGACGACGACACAAGAAACAATATAGATGTCACATCTTCAAAGCACTGAACCCATTTTTGACGTTGAGATCTTTGGCCTCCTACATCAACAAAACGGAAGGGAATGTTATTGATGAGTGTGAGATATTCATTTATTGTTTTTGTAGCTGCTCTTGCATGCAAGATATCAAGATTTGAAGGCACATAGCCCTGAAAAATAATGAAACATTTGTCAGCAAGAAGAATCACTAAAAATAAAAGTTATTCCGTTAACTTTTCAAACATTTACTTTCGAAACTGAAAAATTTGAGAACTATGCTAGAAATTTCTAGTACATTTTTACACTGGAAGGAAAGTAGTGCTGATGGTCATTATAATATTAACTGTAATTTGTTCAAATGTAGAAAATGTACATGTTCTAATAATGAAATGTTTTTTCAACTTCAGTATTAAAACCAGCATTACTCTAACATAAAATGTTACTCTTTTTTAACTCAAATTTTTAAAACTACAAAACGAATAGAATACAGTATCTCGAATCTGAGATCATAATGGGATATTTTTTGGTTGTTGCCAACAAAATTAAATTGTTTTTCCTCAAAATGCAATAATAATTCAGGCTTATAATATTATAAACATATTATTCAGAAGTGTAACTACAATCGCTTGTTCTTTATTTAAAAAAAACCCTTTGTCAAAGCATATTTTCCAACAGTATATGGAATTTTACAAAATTTCATATGGCCATAAATGAAAAACATTTCACAAAGAAAAGATGTACTGTTCTGCTTGATTATTAATTTACACAGTTCAAATTAAAACGTGATCATGATTACTTTCTCCCCTTACATCACAGAATTGATGTCACTTTAAAAATCTCAAAATGCCCTTTGTATCACTTTAATGATATGACTCTACACACAGACTTGGTTTATAACTTCTTAGAAATGCATTAGCATTCACCAGCTAGTAGATATTATTTCTGCTCTAGTTGCTATGCTTTCAATAAAAACCAACATTATGGTAATGAATTAGTATAACAAAAAGCTATTTTTAATAAAACTACTTCAGTTTCATGAAAAAATTCTGAATTCAGGAAAAAAAAATTATATACATTCATTAATAGCAAAGTATACATCAACAAATTTAAGCCAGAACTAAAAACTGCCATAAATTTTAGCATTACCATAGCATTCCTTGCCATAGTAAAACTGAAATGTAACCCTCATTTCACACTAATTTCAGACGAAACGGTTCATAAGACTATAACAAAAAACTAATATGATTTACTCCCCCCTCGCAATTAAAATATATGGCCTCCGGTTCAACCTTCATAATATATATATGCAGTAGAACCTTAATTGTCTAAATTAATTTAAACTGAATTTGATTTGGATAATCAAGTAATCCAGATTTAAAAAAAAAAAAGAGGGAGGGGGTGGGGAAGAATTTATAAATGCTCAATGTGACAGCAGTTACATAACTTCTGTTATCTAATGTATTAAGAATTGAATAATTTTTTAATCACATTTTGAGAAAATAATGTAAATGTGTATACAGTCAAAAGTCTTTAATCCAGACTCGTCGAGACTTCGGCGATTCCTGATTATCGATTTTTCCGGATTATAGATCATTAGTTTAAATCTGGTAGGATAGCATGCAGAAATTATAAAATTAAAAATATGAAACTGTAATTTATGAAATAAAGAACAATTGTCATCTAAAGGGTATCAAATTTTTTAAAAAAAAGAAGCTTAATATTTATTTGCTTACTTTATTAAACATTTTTTTCAATGTAAGTTGTTTAAGTTGCTTCGTTTTATGTGATAATACTTTCTCTTTAATTCTATAAACAGACAAAATTTCTTGTTCAGTTACAAAGTTTCGCTGCTCTCCTATAATTGCTGTCTCGAGAATACTGACTAATTTGTCAATCGAAATTTTTTCGTTTTCAATAACCTCTGTTTCACTTTCTTCACCATCGGAAGCGAATTATAATGACGAGGAATTTGATTTAAATCATATCAAAGACGGAGTACATTGAGATGAAATACTACATTTAGTAAGGAATTATAAGCCAAATAAAATAAAAACATCTACCCTGAAGATAAGGATAGTGCTGACAGATCAACTTCCAGTTCATTGCGCACCACAATGTCCCCCCTCCCCGCAAAGCAGCGTGAAATTGATAAACAGATTTGGGAATGGTTAGAGAAACAAAAGATATGCCTTTATCCATTTTTTGCAGCAATTCTACTTTTTGTTTGATGGACATTGAAACATACTTTTGCTTTGTAGATGTTTGGCAGCTCCAGCATCGGAAATTCTATTTGACATAATCGAAAGTTCAAGCTTACTTTTATAAAATTGCTCTAACAGTCTGCAAAAAATAATAAGCCGGATCCAATTCGAAGATTAAGGAACAACGCGATCTGCAACATTAACTGAAATAGATAATTAGATAATTTGAGCTTAGCTTATACCCTCAGTTACACATTAAACGCACATGCGTAAACGTATTATGCGCACGCGTTAACGCATGCAAAGAAAGTTTATAGCTTTGAGGCCCGGATTATAGATCCTTCCGGATTAACGACTTTTGATTGTATTATGTTTAAATTAAGTTCAGTTAGTATGAGGTTTAAAGGAAGAGGTTATACAGATTTCTCAGACTACATTTAAAATTTTACAAGCTGCTAAATTATAAAATGTTCGTAGAATTAGAGACCTTTTGGATTAGGTTTCATACACATCTATAGTATGCTGAACAGCACTACAAGCTTAGAACTAATGTGGTTCTGTTTGATCCAGTTATTAGTATGAAGTCCTTTCAACTTGTGAAGTAATCATATGAAAAACAAATTCTCTATATCAATATCTGTGGGTGATATTTTCAATTTATTACACATTCAACATGTGCACTGCCAACCACGAGTTATGTCATAGGTCGAAGTAGGCTTCGTAGATTGCTTGGCAGCAAACGTGTTAAAAATACTAAGATTGTAGTAATAGTCTTTGATTGAGCTGTCTAAATTCTTGATGTCCAAAATCCTTAATCAACCCATATCATATTTATCTGACAATGGTTTGCTGTATACTCTTTTCTAAAAAATTCCAACATATCTATTGTGTATAGAATAGATAAAAACGTCCTTTTTGTGATCAGGTATTAAGAGTGCAAGTTTCGAAAAACAAATAAAAAAAATTTTGTAAACTATGTTCAAAATCTACAAATGAGGCACAAATTATGCAAAGTTTTCATTAATTCTATCCACAGCATAAAAAAAGGTGCATGTAAATAAGCCCTAGCACATGGTCAAGCCTATTAAACTCAGATGTTTTCCATGTGCTTTTTTTGTGCACATCATGTACATAGCACAAAAGCACATATATTTTTTAAGTTTTTTTTAAAAACAATTTTTAAGTTTCTACTTTAATGTTAAAACCCAAAAGCTTAGCTCTAGCTTTAGACAGATAAAACAGAACTGTCTCAAAGTTTTTATTTTCTACTTATTTACTTTAGATAATCAAGGACCTACTCCATAAGTATTACTATTGAGAAAAACAAAGTGAAAATTACAAAGATGAAGAACACGTAATAATAAAATACAGTATACAGATACTTTCATGTTGTGAAAATTAAATTAAAAATTTTTACCGAATTTGATAGGTTTTGCTAAACCTAAGATTTAAGAAAATATATTTATAATATATACCTACTTTAAATAATATTAGCTAAATAAGAGAATATAGAAAAATAAAATTACAATTACAAGATGAAATTACAAATAAAGATTCAATGATCAAAGTTGTAACTTCTTTCCCTGGGATAAAATTTATATTCCTTAATGCAGAATTTTAAAGCTTTCTTGGAATGTATGCACCTGTGTATGTATGTGCATAGTATACACACACATATATGTATATTCGTACTTGCATATATGCAATGCATATATCAATACATAGATTTCTGAATCTGATCCCCGATAACAGATCAGTATCCATAAAATACAACTAAATAAATCTGCACATATTTATATAATTCTGTAATCTTTAGACATGGAAAATATGAAATTTTCAAATTAACATACTAACAGACTTAGGTACTGTTCTGCGGACCGGATTAAAAAATATAATGTATGCATGTGTGTATTTTCATACATGTTTATATGCATATACACATGAATGCATACATACATTTCATTATCTGGTCCTGATAACAGAACAGTATCCAGACTTATTTTCAACTGTTAGAAATTGTGATTTTTTATTAATGAAATTACGATATGCAAAAACAATTTTAGCAAAAAGCCAAAGAGGAAAAATATGTACTCGAAATCAACTCACAAGAAAAGTACTCTTTAGAAAAAAATGCCCATATTCATAAAATAATTACTTTTTGCAGTACCCTGGGACAAAGGAATCTGTTTCAGTTTTTTAAAAGTTTGCATAACTGTTGTTATCCAAACTAATGTTTTTTTTAGATTAGCCAGAATTTGCTCTAAAAATATCATTGCGTTTTAATCATCTTGAGACATAATGCCAGCTCTAGGTGATCAGCTTCCAGTAAGTTATGACAATTTAGGAAATTTCAAATTAAGGATAATTACCTTTAATCTTTTAAAATGATTTTTCATATTTATTGTAAACAATAATTTACACTAATATACTAGGCTTCTAATTTTTAATTGATATACCCATACCTTTCTCAAATTAACACTACACACATCTTGCATCTTTTAAGGTTATGAGTCATAGATTCAGAATCTCTGAATCATATAACTGTCTCCTTAAATATTACAATCAATACAGAAATCATTTTAATAACATAGTTCATTTTTAAATTAAGTGCATATTTGTAATCAAGTTTATGCAAGAAATTTAATATAATAAATCTCAACCGAATAATGAATTTTACATCTAGATTACACCTTCCAGAATAATTTGCCTAGATACTTAAGATACCAAAGCAGCTTTGTCTATTACATTTCTTAAGCATCAGCAAGACATTTCCTTGATAGTTTTATCTAATGAGTAGAAGGTTGCAATCCTTAATAATTAAGGAACAAAATTTTTTATGCATTCAGGGAAGGATAGATGAAATGGTTTCATAATTATATTTAATACATTTAAAAAATGAATTCTTAAAATTCCTTTAGTACTATTTCAACAATGCACATAGACTGGCCTATTTCTTTTTAAATTCTTTT